TGTGAAAAATAGGATGAGTTATGTACAAACCAACATGACACGGGATCAAATCCTAGCTCTTATTAATGGGCATTGCGAAGCCTAACATAATGAGAAACTGCTTCCTTATCATAATAAATGACAACCTTAAATCAGATAGACACATAGCAATACTTGGTTATACATACTTTTATCTCTGCGATTGATCCAAACATTTATTGGGCTTCAATAACATGTTTTCTAACTTGTGTAATTATAAGATGTGTATCATTGCATAATCTGTAAACTTATCAATGTTTCGATTCACATTAAAATTGGTTGTACCTACTTTAAGCCTTATTTGATAATTCAAGAGGCTTGACACTATAATTTAATTTAGAAAATGTGTAAAGTGTAAGTCATTAAGTGAATTCATATCTCCACCATGTTTAATAACATCATCAAAGCTTGTGTATACAACTTTCTCTCATGAAGTAAAAATAACATGTACTTGTTTACTTCTTCAGTTACAACCTACATAAGAGCTAACATAGCCCTATCTTTAAAATATGAAGAATTCTATATATTGGTAAGGAAATTTGGGAAAATAGAATTAATAATAGATTTTATGATTATCTTAATCATCCTGTAAGAAATCAGCTAGTATCTTAATATCCATAAATTCTTCATTAGTTATAGCAACAGTTTCATCATCAATTGAGATAATCTAATCAGCAAAATTCTAAAGAACACTAATAGATACTCTGTTATTTGTTTCTAGAAGTCTCATGTGTATTGTTAGTGTTAAAAGTTGACAATGGTCCGAAAATAAAAAGTTAATAGTTACAAAAACAATGTCTTCTCTTGACCCACCTAAAATAACAGGAAGGCCAAATTTTCCTAAAATCTCCACCAAACATAGGAACTTTTCCTTCAAAAGGAAGATTACTAGATAATAGCTACTTAACTTTAGAATATCCTTAAGGCATCTATCAAGAGCTTCAAGACAAAACTTGTGTGCCATTAGAGCTTTATCTCATATGATCAATGATATGTGAAATAATAATTTAGCATGGTTGCTCCTATGTTTCATGCTATGCATAGTGTCTTCAGTCATAGAAAGAGGAATGCAAAATTTGAGTGAGTTGTGTGTCCTCCTAGTAGGCTATCCCACTTCATATTATATTGAGAACTATTTTACCTCTAAATCTTAATGAAGCAAAAAGTGTTCTCCAAACATATGTCTTCCAAACACCACCATATCCATACATGAAAAAAAAACATCTCCGTAGTCATATTCAACGGCATCATCATAAATCTTCTTTTTCTCGAAAGTTAAGCTCTAAAGCAATCTTATCAATTCATCATATAATGCAACTCTATCATAATTTAGTTCATTTCTTATTAATTTTTTTCCACTTGCATCCAAACCTAACATGTCAAGTAAAAGTATAAGCTCATAATCTCAGAGACTTTTCCCATTAGATTGTAGTATTTTCTTAATTCCAATTAAAGCTAGTAATATGAGTTAAGCTTATAGGTCAATCTTTGCCAAATAGTGGCAAGTTAGGTTGCATAATCTGAAGCTCGATTAGATGTGGCTAGTTTTGGCTCACACCATTTAACTCAAGCCTACCAACCTGCAAGCTAATCTGCTTATAATTTTTTATTGTTTGTTCAATCCTTCCTCTTCCAATCTTTATCATTTTGTTCCAACACTTTGTTAAAGAAATCTTCTTATTTAATTAGTATAATATATAGCTAGAATGAAATGGTAGCCAATGCCATATATTTTAATTAGAGTAAAATACAATCTTCTCCCTCCATTTTGCTGAAATAACACAAACCTCCCCTTTGATTTTAAAACCTATACTTTAATCCAATTTTTAGCCCTATTGGGAATATTCAACTAAAGATTTTAAATTACTTTAATTTTTAAATTTTAATTATATTAAAAAATCTAAAAGTGTTAATTTTCCCTTATAATGTATATGCATATTCTGTCCCCTCCTCAAGTTAAGGAACTTTAAATAATTAAATGTGAAATTTTTAAAATAAATAGTTTAGAAATTTTGTGATCAAACTAATAAAATTTAAAGAAAAATAAACATAAATTATACTGACTAATTTATTTTCATTATGCATTACTTCCTTATTTCATCAAGCTTTTTATATATACATGTTTAAAATACTATTTTAGACAACTTGTGTAGTTATATTTTAAAAAATAATTTAAAAATAAGTTTTCAAAACTAAAAGTTTAAAATATGAATAAAACATTTAAAAAAATATGTGCATTAAACTTTTTTAGATATATTGGATGGTTGCTAGATAACATCTACATTTAAATAGGTTGTTTTGATCCAATATATGACTTAATAGTCAATTAACAATTGGGTGAATGGAAATAAAAATTTAAAATAGAAAGGAGATTTTTGTTTTAAAACTATTAATTATTAATTCTAGGGAAGGTTTGTGTATGTTTAAAAATAAAAAGGATGTATATTTAATTAAATTAAATTAGATGAGAAGTCAATGTATTCTTTTTTTTAATTATTATAATATATACATGGATAAAAATTCAAATTAAAATTGAAAATATTTTCTAATCATCATATATTGAAATTTTAATTTATCTAGCTTAAAATTCAAATTTTAAAGTTAAATACTTTTTTATTAAGAATTTAAAGTGTTTTTATTATTAACTACATTATATTGGCAATCTAAAATAGTTGAATATATTGAACAATAATATTAACTTATTCTACTCAAATTATAGCATTGCCAAAATTTTAAATACTCCTCAAAGTTATGATTAATTTGGGAGAATTAATTTATCAAAGATATGTTGTAAAGATAATTTTTTATATATTAAATTGGTCGATATGTTTTACATTTTTAACTTATTTTGATAACATATTTAAATTTTAAATCTCAATATTTACTAATTAAATAAAATGATTATTTAAGTAAAAATATCATTAAATTAATTATACTATTTTTAATGAGCAAATATAAATAACATTATTTAATTGAAAATTTTGAGTATTTTTAATTTCAAACTTTACACAAAAAACAATCAATATCTTAACCTTATGAAATTATTGAATTTTATGAAAGTTTATCAAATTCTAATATTTCACAATAATTTGAGTTTTAAAGATTTAACTATAGATGAAGATGGATAAAAAAATATTATTTTTAGAAGATATATTGTAACCATCGTCTTTTTGTTTTATATACATATACTTAAAATTGAGTTTAAACATATTCAAAACTTAACCATCAAACTTGATTTTCAAAATATAAAATCACTGAAAGAATACCAAAATAAAATCTTATATTTATATAAATCAGTCATGTAAAAAAGACTCAAGGATTTTACAAAATTAATTAAAGGTTAAATTATAAATTTGCTCTTGAACTATAGGTCTAAAAGCATCTGATACTCTAATTTATTTTTGATGTCATGTCCCCCCTCAATCTTTAAAAATAGTATAATATTACTCCTATAGTTAATTAATGATAACTTTGATTATTAGTTAACTAAAAAATTATTAAAAAACCTTAAAAAATATAAAAAGAGACAGAGAAAATTTCTTGGTCCTTTTTTATATTTTTTGGTCCTTGTCTATATTTTTAGATTTTTTACAATAATTTCTTGTTCAACTAACATTTAAAATTAATTTTTATTAGCGTTTAGAGTGACATTGCTCTTTAACCCTTAATCAAATCTATAAATGTGAAAAGAAAATAGTATGCAGCGTCACTTATTTGTAATTGGTATAATATCTAAATGGAAGAAAAATTTGATTTGAATTTGATAATTTTATTTAAATTATAGATCTTCATGACTGTTTTAAGTTTTTGAAATTCAAATAGAATTTTTTAAGATCTATGAAATTATGTTAATATTATCAACTATATATTTTTTTAAACTTAGATAGATAGAAAAAAGAATATATTGATTTAGAGTATTCAAAAAAGAACACATGTCATAATTTAAAATATACACAAAATAACATGTGATATTAAAATAACTGCATATTAAAATAAGTATTGGTTAGTCAATTTAATAATTTTCTCACAACCTCTCATTAAAATATTTTATACATGATATCAATTTAAATAATTGAAATAGCTTTCAAAATTAAATTATATTTAGTATAAATAATTATTATGAGTAACTTTGAATTTCAAAATTTAAAATTGAATCCATTTTTAAAATTTAAGTCAATACATCTTCAAATTAAATAAGATAAAATTTGATTACATAAAATAAGATGTTAATCCATCAATATATATTTAAAATCATATTTTAAAGTAAACTACATATATAAATATATATGTTATATATATATATATATACACACACACATATATATTGTGACTAGCCTTCAAGTTTATTTATAAATATTTAAAACTTTAATCCAAATCTATTTACAAACTAACAACAAAGCCTAGCTTCCTGAACATAAATCACATAAGACATGAACATAAAACTATTAATATATATAATGATAATGATGATAAGATTAAAATTAATCTTTTTTCTCTATTCAATAAATAGAATTAGAGGAGTACATTTAAATTCTCCCATAAGCAATGTAAAAATAAGAATCCTTTAATAATTTTTGCAACAAAATTGCTACACAGGATTCTAGTGCGATTTTTTCTAAAATTCATATATTTTTCTGTGATTACATATCTAAACTTTTTATTTTATTTTATTGTTCAAATAAGTTTATGTTTATCAAATTGATTTAAAAAAAAACTATCTATATATAAATCATGTTAAAGTTACTAACTGTTATCCTAACACTAATTTATAAACTTAAATTTATTCTAATTTTTGTTTTGCAATTTTAATACAAAAAACATTCTTGATGCTCTCATTTTTGTTTTTTTGGTCAATCTCATTTTTGCTTTCGGAAACATTAAACCTCAGCTCGAAGAGCTCAAATGAGTGTATCAAAAACCAAAAATACTCAAATGAAGGCGCGCAAAATCCTCGATTCCAAATCAGAAATTGAGAAATTTGAATGCGTCGCAAATCCGAGGCCCTTCGCATTGCAATGCAAACTAACATCTCGTTGCCACTCAAGCTTCAAGTCCAATCTCTCTTTGAGGTATGCCCAATGCTTGAATTAAGGTAGATATATTCTCTTTCCTTCTGCCATTTTCGGAGTTATCAGGGTATTTCTTGAGAATGAGTTTGCATTGTTGTAGAGCAATGCAATTATATTCTATCAACAATTTGTCGAGATCCTTTCTCTCTCGGTTCTCTACTCTTGTTTCTTCCCTGACCCAAGCCTCAGCAGAACACATTTCCATCATTGATTACCTAAACACCAATTTCAAATTCTCTAAATCTCAGTTCGACTCTCAAAACGACTATCTCAGGCTAGGTGCCCTCCGCATCCAAGGACAGCGGTAAATTATTTGAAACAGATTGGACTTTCTGAATCGCAGATTCTATCCATGATTGGTGTTCAACCCGAAATATTGTTCTTGCGTGTCGATGAAACCCTGAAGCCGAAAATTGAGTACCTTAAGCTGCTAGGGTTTCAGGGCTCTGAATTGGCTAAGCTTCTGTCCAAGAATCCAATTTTTTTGATGTTGAGTTTGAATAAAACGTTGGTGCCCTCTGTGGAGGCTATTAGGAAAATAGTTAATGTAGAGGAAGATTTGATTAAGTTGCTTCGCAGAGATGGGAGTTGGATAATCAAAGACCACAGAAAGATTTTGCGCAATGCTTCTTTCTTCCAGAGTTGTGGGATCGTTGGGTCTCAGCTTTCACATTTATGCGTACAACATGCTCGCCTTTTTGTCATGCGAGAGTCCGTGCTTCGAAGCTATGTTTCACGGGCTGTAAACATGGGTTTCTGCATACACTCAAGAATGTTGGTACATGCGGTCCTGGCAATTAGTGGCTTAAGCTTTGATACGTTTAACAAAAAGTTGGAGTCAATTCAGAGTTGCGGGTTTTCTAAACAAGAGACCATGCAAATGCTTAGAAAGGCTCCCTCGTTGCTTCATCGATCTGAGAAGAATCTAAAATTTGGAATTCAAGCGTGCTTTGGTAAAATTATGCTGCCTAAGTCACTGCTTGTTAAGAACCCTGTGATTTTGACGTTAAGCTTGGAGAAAAGGGTGATTCCTCGATGGAGGGTTTTGCAACTCCTAATCTCAAAAGAGTTACATAAGAAGAATCCAAGTTTTCTTAAAGTGCTACTATTGCCGGAGGGGAAATTCTTGCAGGAGTATATTTTCAAGTTTAGCTATGATGTAGAGGCATTATTAGCAGCTTACAAGAGTCAGCATAGAGGAAGGAATGGGAGTTTCAATTCTGACGCCATTTTTCTCAGTTAACATTTGTAACTTTATAGTTGAGTTGGCAAAATTTCTCTACAATTACAACTCTAATTTGAATGATATGCATTGTAAATTCGAGTTTTGTAGATCTTATTTACTCGTCATGATCTATTTGTGTATGAATCAAAAGAAAATAAGAACCTTCAAAATAACCCCCTCACCTTGTGTCCCTTTCCTGACTCTGTAAATCTGCCATATCCTCTGAATAGCAGCATCTCCCCATTCAAGCCGTAGATGTTAAAGCTTGGAAAGCAAAGAAGTTGGATAAGAAGCATGGAATTAGAAGAGTAGAAAGAAGGGAATAAGAGATTAGATCTGAAAATTGGTTTCTGACCGTAGAGAAAAGATTGAGGAGTGTGCTTGTGTTCTCTTGATTAAACTGATAATGGAGCTCAATATGTCTGCTTCTTGCATGGCACGTTGGAGTCAAGGCCAACTTTAGTGTACTTTGACTGCCACATTTCAAGATGAGCCAGTTTATGTTTACACCGAGATGAGCCAGTAATAATGGCTACAGCAACTTTGTATTTTGGTACTCTAGTTGATAATGAAACAATTCTCATCTTTTTGTTTCTTCCCATGTCTGCACGGCCAGTGAAGAAAAGCAATCATGTTAGTTTCTTTCGTGTTACAAGAAAGAAAAGCTTATTTTATATAAAGCAAAATTCTCTTGGTGGCTTTGAGATGAATTTTCTAGGAACATGCAAAAATTGACACGTGATCCACTGTGGAACTGATGTTGGGCTGTGAATGTCATGTGTTATTGCAGTCTACGGGTAGACTTCTTTAGTATTATGGATTTATACAATGATAATTTCTTTGTTTTTGTTTTTTTTTCTTTCTGATATGGATAAGGGGACTCTAGATCATGCATAAATTGACACACTTATATGCTGATTTACTGATATTGGTACTGTGAATATCTGTTATTGTAGCGCCGCAACTAGACTTCTTCAGTGTCTGGATTTTTTATCAAACACCTGTCATTATATGACATGGAAGCAAAAATAAACCGTCATTAATTGACAATTTCTTTGTTGCTTTCATTGGTATGGGTGGTGGTTTGGTTTAGTATGAGAAAATCAAAATATTTTTAGAAAATCAATAATAGCAAATTAAGGTTGAGTTTAGGCTGTATTGATACGGGTACGAGTATCCAATATGATACTGTATGATACGGTGATACGGCAAATTTTTAAAATTTTAGAATTCAGGTATGAGAATATTTATAATATATATTTCAACATTTTATGATATAGGCATAGGTATTTTGATTTTTAAACAAAAATTTTTATATAATATATGGATATTTATGACAATCAATCAATATATTAATGGCCCGTTTGGTTGAATTCCTTGCATCAAGATTACAAGTAATCCTAATGCATTTCCCCCATTCACAATGTTTGGTCGGTGCAAGGTAATGTAATGAGGATTACATTATGTAAAGGAAATTACCTTAAATGTTGTAATGAGGATTATATTATTAGACCTATGTAATCCCCATTCCCACCACCTTTTTACCACAATACCCTCCTCATTCACTCATACCTACCTCCCTCTCCTTCTAACTGCACACCTTCACTATACTTGTCGGCATCCCATCGCATCGTCACTATCATCGGCGTCAAGGTCGTCGACCTCCCTCCATGGTCTATGATCCCTGGCCTTTGATCTCATCAATGGAAGCCTTTGCCTAAGATGACAGCCATATCACGTTCCTCTTCGATGCTTCTTATTTATGTTTTGCAAAGTATGAATCTGGAAGGAAGAGGAAGATAATGATGGGGTGTGTTTGTGAAATTTGTATCAGGGGTATGATTGTGTAATTTGCACCTGGAAGAGGGAAAAAGAACGATAGGAGTATTGGAATTTCCTTATTTGCTTAAGGATATTATGATCTTTTAACATCAGATCGTACTTTATTAAATATAAAAAAAATATATTTTCTTAAAGTCATACCAAACAAATATCATGTAATCAACATTACATTACATTTTATTTTCACTCATTCTGTGAACCAAACAGATCATAAGTGTTTTTTTTTTAATTTTTTAAGTGATATAGTAAAAAATTATTGAAAAAAAATCACATTACAAATATTATGGAATACGTATGTAGAAATATCTTACAAATATTGTATCGGATGCACATTAGATACAAATATGGATACATTTACTTTTTTAAAGTATTCATACTTCATAATATTCTATTATAGATACAGTGCAAGTAAATACTCTAGTGCTTCCAAAATTTCCCAATTCAAAGAATTGGAAATTCTAGTGTGTTCTATACAGTGTTCGTGAATGATAAGCCCATTGGCAACTCTCTGATTTAGGCTTATGTTCACTCTTAGTTTCCTTTAATATAATAGCATAATCTTTGATATGATAAAATGACACAAGAATCAATGGGGGTTAGATCTAGTAGAAGGGTTAGTGCCTCACAACATGGCAAAT